ACCTTGTATGTAAATTTCTCTTGCAGCTGTGAAAATACTGTCAGTTTTGTAAAACCTTATAGGTAGCTATTCTCATATTGTAATCCACCGCACTTGTTCTAGAATTTTGAGATTGTGACCCACTTTTCACTCAGTAAGCACTATATTCTGCAATGGGATTTTTTACTACTTCACTTAAATCACCGATCCAGCTTATATTCTATTCTGTTTCTGTTTTATCCCCCAATAATTCATTTCAATCTACAGAATTGAAGTAACGGTTGTGTCTCATCCGCGTTAATTCCTATTTGGTTAATAAATACTATCTATATTCGTGGTATTTTGCTACGTCAAAAGGATCAACAGATCTTTGCTCATCCATTGATAATTCAATCTTAACAAAACAGTTTCTCTGAACTAAACCTGGAAAACTAGTTTTCTTTCAATAAAAGAAGCAAGGAAATCGAGTTTTATTTGTTACGAAAGACAAAAACCAAAATTTCTGGAACATCCTTTGCGAATTAATTATGTTTATAAATGACTGTTTATTATATGCCAATTTGTCATTTGCTGAACAAAAAGCTCGTTGATCATTATTAGGAGTGAAATTCATGAGAGTTAGATCTTAAGCAAACATATGTTCGATGAAACGGCTTTCGTCACCTCTTCCTTCGCCTCTTTAAATTGAATAACAACTTCACCAATTACACTCCAGTACACTGCTCATTTCATATTTTACGTCTATTCCCTCTTTTTCTGTTCGTTTTTATTTTTTGAATTAATTACGTAATATCATTTCAGCATTTTGCAAAAAGTCTGGCATTATTTTAGAAGAGACGAATTTCGAAAACAAAATTTCTGATGCCACAAATTACGAATTCGAAGGTAACTTCATCTTCCACTGTCGATCCTATTTCACAAGAGTGGAGAGAAGAGCCACTTATTCGGACTGAGATTTCGCATGATGCACTGGTGGATGAGACCATTCCGGAACTCTACTCGGCCGCCGAACAAGCCATTAATGTGGGAAACTTTTCCGTTATTGCAGTCTTAAATCGACAGTAAACTCAAGTTTTACAATATTCTGTATTTCCGAACCGAAATTCTAAGTAGAAAAGAATGATTCATGCTAAAGCAGTTGGTTAATAAGCGGGCAGATGCTTATGTCATTTGAGCTGGCAGGATTCCGTTAAGGTCAAGTAGTTACTGCAATCACACACTATATCTTAGTTTCATACTGTTTGTTAACGATGAAAATGTGTTCAGTTCAATCCGGACGAATACCTTCAAGCATTTTATTCCATGCCAACAAAAGATGTAGCGATGCATACCATACTCTTTTTTCTTCCCGGAATTCTCTATTGGATTCCAGAAAAAATTCGGACACTGCTCGATCTCGGAGCTGGTTTGCGTTCTTTTTTTCTCTTAGATTTTCGTTTATGATGGTGTGTTATGACGACCGTTAAGCTTTTCTTGCAGTTAAACAAAAAAGTGTAATCTTTCAAAACTGCCACAACTAACCGGTCCCTGAACTTTATTTAAAAATAATGTCAAAGGAGGCGCATTAGTTAAGTATGCAATTGTATTATGGTAGAATGAAAAGAACTGCGGGATATTTCTGCTTATTTGACAAAGATTTAAATTTATTCTTCTTTCAAAATTAATTCCGAAATCTATCCCTCTTATTTAGGTCCTACTGTTTATGTGCCAATAACATTCCGGAAACATGCCAAGCAAATTTATAGCGCAGACTGTGCAGAAAATAGCTGTGATATGCTGAAAAATTGGGCCAAAAATAAATCATCCTTTGAGTGGACCGAAGTGTGCAAATGGATAGCCTGTATTGAAAATTCAAATGAATCACCAGCTCTCATGGAAGAAAGCGCTCGTGGCAGATTCAAAGCCGTTTTGCGGGTAATTCTGCTTGTTTAGAGCTTCCAAGTTTTATCTCGTAGAAGTTGAAATATCCGTTAGCAATTGGGAAATGTGTAATTCGACCCAAAGAAATCTTCTAGCAGTTTATTTCCACAATGGTGGGATATAAAACAAGCATACTGCGATATTCTACTTTTCCACGATATCAAAGTCTTAACTAAAGGGTCAGACGAATATATCCAAGGATAGGATAGCTCGCTAACCTCCAGGCAATCATCCTAGGAGAAAAACAACTCTAATCCCAAATCCAGACAGGTCATTTAGCCTTATAAGGTCATCCATCTAAGGTAAGGATACTCTTACTGAGGATTTACTGTCACTTCCTAAGTTCGTTGGGACCCGGCAGGTGAACCTCGGGAGTAAAGAGGGAAACCGAAAACACTACGTCTCAGCTAAAAAAATCCACTGAGTGGGCTGGAAGAATACACTCACATTTGCAGCGTTTGTAGGAAGCGTGGATGGAATCCTTCCCAAATCTCCGTTCGCGAAGCCTAGCCACGATTGCAATACTCTCACTCTGAAAGAGAATCCAACAAAGTTTTGCAGATGTTCACAAGAACGCAAGTACTTTCAGGCTGATCTGCATGCTGAACCAATCATCAAATGCGTGCATTACAAATGCTCAGACAACGATGATATCCCTCAACAGTTCCAGGTTGTTGTGTCCATATTTTGTTTAGAGTATTCTAGCGAAAATCTGGAGGGTTATCGTCGTGCAGTTCGTAATACGGTGAACTTGATCGAACCAAACGGATTTCTGGTCAGTCCTAATCACTCGCAGTCATTTTGAAATACTGCTAGTGATCAACAACTCTACCAATAAGATGGACTATCCGTGCTGGTGATGGTACAATTTAAAATATGATCGGCATCTAACTTTCAGTTCTTCGAGATATACACGCCACTTTGCTGTTTTTCGTTGTAGTGAACAGAAAGAAAAGAAAAACAAAAAGATCCATACAGACTGAATCAAGTGAAGCAGAATTATTCATAAAAACCAGATAAAACACCTTCCCCTCCTTTCATCCATTCCTATGTGAATTTGCCATTTATTTCGTTTAACGTGGAAGCTCGGACCTTCATCGTCTTGTTCTCTAAGGATTCCAAAATAAACTATCCAAAACCACGGTTAAATTTCTGTTCATAATTTAGATACAAGGCGGAGTTCTCCGAGCAAATGACTATTATTTCGGGAATAGACGTTACAGATGCCATCATTTAACCAAAGAACAGGTTATCGAATCTCTGAAGGTCAATTCTATGAAATTATTAAGAACATTTTACTATTTCATTTTAAAAAGATAAAAAATATGTCGACCTCTTCGATATAAACACCAGAACTATTTTTGAGATGCTAAACCCTATTATTTTGTACCTTAGCTTTTAATAAAAAAGAACAAGATATATTTCAGGAAAACAATATGGCAGTAGAGAAAGATGGGAATTTCAAATGGTTTGAATTCGATGACGTATTCCTCTTAATAACCAGGAAAAAATTTTAAAAATATATGACAGGAAGTAATTATTTTACTTCTTTCCATTACCTTTTAGCTCAATAGAGAACTTTATTATACTTTAACATCCAGATTCCTATAAACAACTAAAACAAGGATTCTGCGTAAAAGCACCAAAAGCACAAAATCAAATAGATTAAGATGATTAAAGAATCATGCTAGATATTTTTTGTCGATGTAAGTAATCATCTGATTGTCTGAGCAAGCGATAATTCCATTCGTCGATACATTGAAAGTGCTTACTGATGTTAGACAATCAATAAGAGTAGTAACATTCGCATTCCCAGAACGAACTGATGGTGAAAGCCATGCATTTGCTCGTGACTGGCTGTTAAAATTTGAAATCGAACTGCAATTCACGGATTTCATAACTTTGGTAATATAAAAAAGTATTCGCTATCATCGTAAAACGGGTTATCATGCACATAAACTGAACTTACTTGGAGAGACCGGATCCTTTGACATTTAAATGTAACAAATGACCTTTACCAGTTGCACAGTAAAAATTTGACGGATAAACAGGATGGAAAGCCATCTGAAAAAGTCTTAAATGCTTCACTTTTGATCACTTTTGAAATAAGCGAGTCATTCGGAAGTGTCGAATATCACTAATATCAAATTTCCATGACAGCACTTCCCCACATCTTGACTAGCTTGTAATGCAGAAATGCACTAACCTCCCAGACCGTACCAACTGGAAAAGAAACCGCAACAGCATTCAACAAATAACTACTTCGGCGTGTGTCGAGAAAACCAATACCACCATCTTCAGTACCAAAACCAACCTGCAATTCTTGCAAGTTACACAAACTCATCTACATGGAAAATTCACAGCATCCTGATCGAGGTGCTGATGGTTCATAACTAATTGACTTTTAAAAAACATGATAAAAACGTGCAAGATTATAGAATGCAAGAAGAAAAACTGACCAAATTAGGCTCGGCAGGATGAACAGCAAGTGCTGTGGTACCTTGGAAACAGTCGGTAACTCGGCAAGAAAATACAGGCCGAAAAGATGATCCCGCCTCTTCTCTGAGATCCCATAAACAGATCTGTCCATCTAGATGGGCTGATACAAATATATCCCGTGCGACTGATGCCAGGGACCGTATGCTTGCCATACTCTGCATAAATAACTCAGTCCTCTTAGAATTTAAATCATAATAACAGTTCAAAGTACGGCACCGGAATCTCGGGGTCGCATAAAAAGGTAAAGGTAAGTTACAATTCGAGTTTATTGTATTAAGAGTAAACATTTGGAAAAAAATCTAGGATGAACAAACCAAAGATACAACTTTCTTGGAGTTGCCTTCCAAGTCGATACCTATCAAACTGCCACCCTCACCACCACAGATTATCTTACCATTGTTATAGCATAATGCATTACAAGGACAACCATAATGCATATCGATATATTTCCTCATAGGTTTAATGACACCTTCATCATATTCCAATAACTTCACTGAACCATCATTCATTGCAGCAGCGAATCTCATCCCATTATATAGGCTGCAAAATTTGTCATCTTTCAATTCAATAATTTACACAAGTCTGACAACAGAAGTTCAAGCTTCAGTTCTTGTTTATAACGCCTTCGCACAATGGAAAAGTAATGAATGAGGCACTCTGAAAAAGAATACAATGAACAGTTTATAATCTATAAAACGGTTACTTACAGCAAATCATTCACGTCTGTATCGACCATTAATCTGCATTCGCACGAGAATAAATCGTCCGTTAATTCAGCATCTAAACAGGCAGCAGTGATCAGTTTGAATGACCTAACCCATTTATAAAATTAATACATGAAGGAAATTGGGTTTAAGGTAACTTCTGTAATTCCCATGTTAACGACTTCTCTTAAAGATGCTATACTTATGACTGCGGTTGGAAACGAAAATTTCCCTAAAAGTTTAGTCCAGCTATTTCCATTGATTTTGCAGGTGGTGACCAGCTGAGTGCTCCAACCGCAGCAGGGGATATAAAAAGCCATGCGACATCACAAAGAAACGTAAATTGAGTCCTCAAATTAAATCACTGTTGGTTAAGTGATACTTGGCATTGCTGGTACAGTATAAATGAAATATTAGAATACATTATTTTCTGGTATCACAAAAGAACAAGACGGAAGAAATGAAAATGATGAAAAAGGAGAAGGGTTGCTAACCTTCGACTAATGACCACGCTGCTATTTCTTTGTTTCGAGAGTCATACGTCGAGGTCAAGAATTTCTTTTGCTGTCCTCCGAAATCAAGCCATCGCACGCGAGAAAACTTTGCACCACCAAACTGGGAGCGATAACACGAGAGGCCATCCGTATCCATAGATCCTACGGCTATTTTATTTCGTTTTCACGAGAAAAAATGAAACATTTGCCCTATACATCCACTTCTTTACTGTATTTGGCCACACGATTATTGTCGCTATAAAACATTTGCTGTAAGGAAGAGAGAAAAAGATCAAGGGTTAGGTCCAGCCACAACTGCGCTCCTGCCAACGTCCAGTTTTTGGAAACACTCCGTCAAACAGGCTGCAATAGGTACCAGTGATGAACTAAAATGCAGCTAAAAATCGTCAGTGAAATTCCGTCGTGGAGTGGGGGGTCGGGGATTAAAGGCTTCGGGATTTAGTGGTTGTATCTATTTTTAGGAGATGCTAAAGAGAAGTCCAAGCCCACCAGCAACGTATGCAAAATATCTGGATGATTTCGAGGGATGTGATGAGACGCAGACGATACCAACCACCAGCTCGGCCAATTTACACCGAAGTTCCAGCAAGGTGAATTGTTTTCTCTATATTTTGGAGGAATCTGAAGAGTGGACTTGTTTCTTACTTTATGATTCACTACGATTACAGTCAATTAATTTCATAAATGGTTGTTCACTCTCGGAGATTCTTCTGATATTTAATTAATTTTCTTGCTTGATACATTTTTGTTAAACTTACTACTGTTTCTAAATGTAATTGTTACATTTATAACACATTGGTATGCCTTATTAAAAAACTGTAACTCACAAATGTTAATTGCTCCACGTTTTTTCTACACATCAGTTTAAAATTACTGTCTTATATTATAAAGGTTAGAGCGACATTAATGATTAAGATAGGAACCAGATTTAGACATTTTTCATTTTATCTTTCAAAACAATTCAGTTCAGATGTTATTTTATTCTTTTTTCAATTGCAAATTGTGATTGGCTGTCCTGCATGAGAGGAAACACCTTTTGTTTCTCTCTTGGTGACCTTTACTCGATTGCAAGTACAGAACATCTTTAAGTGGTAAAACTTATAAAATTCTAAGCGGTATATTTTAGAGCATAAATCGCCGGCAGATTTTGTCAGAAGGTTATGGTAGTACATTCGAGGATTTCGAATCTGTGGAAAGTAGAAGTTATAGTGGCTTCATGGAAAATCCGGCCATCATTGAATCACAGTACTCTGCGAATGCAACAAATTTTTATGCCGGCACTTATGTAGGAAGTTATGAAGCAAATTCTTTGAGTGACCAGAGAGGATGCGCACAGAATACGAGCAGCGAGCCAGCAAAGGAAAATAGACCGAAATCAATTTATGAATTAAAAGAACGAGAAAAGTAAGTGAATAGCATCTGATATTCTTATTTCCTCTTGATTCCTTCAATGGTCATTGCTGTTTTTGCTTTAGTCATTCTTCCCTATCTCACTATACATTCAACGTTGGTTGAAGACTTGCCGAATTATGAGTGTCATCATTTTATATAATAATTTTTGTATGAGAGCACTGTCTATTACTGTCATATCTTTTATTACCGCATGAAAGAGCATTTGCAACCTAAAACAATTTGCTTTTTCTTTTCCAATTTTCTGTAAATAACTTGTTCATTTTTGCTCATGAAAGCGATTAAAGCCAATTAATCGTCTCTGCAGAGCTGTAAAACATGTGAACAAAATATGTTATGCGTTCGCGAAATTCGGTGATTGTCACTACGGTGAAAGTTGTAAATTTTCCCATGATCCGAAATTACTAGCCAAACAACAGCAGTCGCTGCAACGTATGGTGCCTCAGTATAATGATATGGAAAGCAGTTCACAAAAACCATATGTAAATGAGAGTATGTCGTACTGTTCTTTAGTTAATAATCTTTTTAAATTATTATTTTTATCATTTTTTCCAAATTGATCAGGGTCATTTCTATCGGAATCTGGGGTAGCGTAATGAATTTATTAGTGCCTAACGCTTAAAAGCTGAATTAAGTAACGCTTGATATATAATTTGAAGTCCTTAGTCATATGGTGATTCGTTTCGAACTACTTAATAATTTAGCCGAAAGTTCGGGCGCAACATGTCATCAGTTAGAGCAACGTTTAATTGAAATTCAACGAGAGCTTACGATGTTAGATGAAGAGGGAAAGAAGGTTTGTGTTAAATCCATTATATTACATCATAAAGGTTAGCATTTCCAAACCACACTGGCTGTTAAAGCTTTTGTAACATGATTTTCCATATCCGGAAATTGCAGCCAAAGTCTTCAGTGGTTGTACCTCGGAGAAACCAGTCGATTTTTGGTAGTAATTCAAGGGCTGCTATCAATGTTGGTGGTGATTTTATCGTGAAAATTGGAACAGCGTGTAATGATCGGCAAGAAAACAAGCGGAATAATTATTGTGAGGGTAAGATTCCAGATATTTGTCACTTGACTGTATCATTAATTTTATTTTCCTTCATCCACTGTTGCATAGATTGAGAAAATTTTGATAGTTAGATGCGCTGAAAGAAAACTATACTCGGCATACATTATCAGCAGCGTGAATCCTCTAGGTTATGTAATAAAAGAGCAAGGAAATTTTATTAGGAAAGGATTTTCTTGAATCATTTTATGATATGTTGCAATCTCGTTTAAAAGAAACGACTGTGAGGAGTAAGAACAAAATTGGTTTTTCTGATTTCGTTTTTTTTCTTTCTTTTTGTAAAGAGTTGAAACTTTTTTGAATATTCCATCTGTAGATTAAACAGCTCAAATATTTTAGAAAATGTTGTTTCTGCAGTTCACTTGATTTTGAATATTATTGAATATTATTCACTTGATTTTGAATATTAATTTTATGCGGATTATTTTTTCGGTCCTAGTTGATAGTTTTGAATATATCTTTTTTGGGTTTTGCACCAAAATTTCATTTCATCGGTGGAATTTGGAATCGAATAATGCTACAGTTATCAGTTTTACTACAACTCTTCAGTTATAAGTTTTTTTCGATATATTCTTTTTGAAGTTCGTAAATCAGATTTCAAACACTGACTAACTTTCCTTACTCTAAAATTCGTCCGTCATGTTTGCTAAAAATTTTAGACTGCATTATTGCGACAACTACATTACATTTCAGAAACGCATCGAAATTTCGAAAAACTGGAGGATAGCAACCTTAATCGGTTAAAAAAATCAATTTTCATGCCAGAAGAAAAGATGCTTGCTGTAAGCGATGATGACAGTGAAGGAAATAACAAAAGCGGAAGAAGTGAAAAGCCCCTTAAATTGGATGATGTTGTTGCGGATGAAATTTCGAGTTCTGATGATGAAGGTAGTGTGAATTCATAAGTAGTATGAAAATTTCGGCGTGACTTTTTGAAAATTTCTTTGCTAGATGATTTTATCGCTGTTATCCTTGCAAATCTTCAGTTTCTGTTATTATTTGCTGTTATTTAAGAGTTTAAAGGGTTCTTGGGTGATGTAATTGTTTCACTAAATCCCATAATTGTTCTTATTTCTTCTGAATCGTTCACAGACTCCTTACGGTTCCTCGTTGCTGAACCAACAATATGTAAGATATTTATAATCACTTTCCTGTACGTGTATTACACTAAATAATTTTGAGAAACAGTTGTAGAGAGTCATTTTAAATTTTTTACAGAGAAGGCAGTATCATCGAACAAAAAAGCGAAGGTTCTCGTCACTGAAGAAATTTCTGATGATTCGGATGCGAAACAAAGTGAAGTAGGTTCACTTGTTGAAGAGGATGGTGAGTTGAGTTTAGTATCCGAAGATGAAGTCCGATGCGATCAGGTTTCGGATGATGAATGTGGTTTGTTGCAGACATTCTTGCAAAGGCTGTGGCTGTTTAAATGTGGGCGGGGAGCATTATGAATGAATGGGTTGTTTACCTTCACTTCTTTATGAATTCAAATATCTCGAAAGACTAAAATCAAGTATTTTTTTCGGATTAAAAGTGAACATAAAACTTGGTTTTAAACTGCACATTTCGTGAATAAGCTTTTCTGTTTACTGCGGTATTATTTCGTTTACATCTCTTATTTTTTGTTCAAGTTTTAGGAAGCATTACTGAACCCTTAGATCTTGCATCAGCAGTCGATCCGACGCAATTAATCGATATCAGTGAAGATGAGCTAGTGGAAGAAGATAGCGGTGCTAGCACAAGGTATGTTTACACATCGATTTGTCACGTTAAACTATGGTGTACAAAAAAGAACAAAAACGCAGAATTTGCCTATTTGACATTTTGATACGTCTGTAAGGATGTAAGACTCAGACATACCTTTTAGTGTTGCACTTTACCCTTTATTCAAAGTACGGAAAAAAACGATTTCTGTTGGGACATGCATCATATTTTGTTAAAATATGAAGTTAAATAATTAAGCATCTCCAACCATTCATTTTCATTAAATAATAATGATAGGGCTAATTTCACGACTAATCGTAATTGCGTTTTCTTTCTGCCCATCGTGCACTTCATTTCATTTTATGCATTAAAATTTACTGGATAAATGTGTAAATATTTCATATTTTCATCCCATATTTTTCCGTTATTTTTTCAGTCAAAAGCCGAAATCTTTACGTGATAGGCTTTCTTTCCCTTATGTTTTTGACGACAACATTCTTGTCTTGGATTGCCTTTCTGACAAGTTCATCGATCAAGTACGATCTGAAGGTTTTGATGGTAACTTTATTTTCACCAGTTATTTTTCATTCTGAGGCAACGTATGAAATTTTTTAAGATTTACAATTTGTTTAGTGGCAGCATTGAAGCAACCAAAAAAGTTGGAACTGTGCGAATCTCTACATAAAAATCATCGCCTTATGTCCAGTTTGGAACAGAGGAAACATGTCGAGAATTTGAAATCCACTCTCTTGCTTCAACAAATGGTTTGTTACGTTGAATTATACGTAACAGAGTTGCAGGAAAAAGAACCTTCTAGAACGGCAGTATAATATTTTTTGGTAACTATGAAAAAATAAAAGTTAAAAATACTGCAAAATACAGGTATCGGAATAATACATTTCAGGACAGTGCTATTAGTAATAACAAAACAGCATATACCGAACTGTTGGCGGCATCCAGGCAACTCTGTTATAGTCGAGGAGATCAAATCATTTGAAGATGATCTGAAACTTATAAGTGTACTATTTGGTCAAGATATTTGATGATCGAAATTGATATTTGATGATCAAAAGATTAATACTATTTCTTCTACATTTTTCTGAAAATTGTTTTATTTCGTGCGGTGTAAACTAGTTTGCTTGCTTACGCCTTGTTATAATTCATGGAAAATGGCCATCTGAATATCCGTTTGAATACTTCAGTTACTGCAGTTACTGCCAGAACCAAACACAGTTGTCACTCTATTTCGTATTTTCTTTTTCAGTTTCATCATTTTATAATAGTGTTATGCATTCCAACATTTAAACCACTTACTATTGGTTGGTTTCATCCCAAAAAATTTCTGAGCATATGTGATTGATGAATGAAGTGCTTCGCATCCTCTAATTCATTTATTACTCGACTGCTGGAATGGATTTTTGCATTTTTTTTTGATGTGATTTGTCACCCTTTTATGGATTTGCTTACCACAGATGGGCAGATTCACTGCAGACTTAAGAATCGTGATATATACATATAAGTAATAAGTGTAAATGAATCATTTGAAGTCATGATTTTGCAGAAGGTGTAAAGCAAATGTTGTTACCTCTTTAATTTACTGTCTTTAAATTTCTGATTCATTTGGTCAGCGCTCCTAGTTAAACTTATTGACCCAATTGGTTTTTTTGATGCATGACTCGGAATGTCACCATATTTAAAATTCAATGAAATTAAGTCAGATTAAAATTGGTTTAAGAATGTGTTGTTTCATTGAAAAAGAGTTGTTGAAATTCCGATTTTGAAATGTAAATCTCTAAAGTTGTTTAGGATATTGCTGCGAAAGCCATGGTGGAAGTTTGGGACGGTAAGTGCTTTTCTCCTTAATTGTTGCTAGAAAGCCAGATAAACGAATGCCCACAGCAATAATTTTCAGTCCAATTAATTTTAAATTTGTTTCTGATTTTCACTGCTTCTGTTATATTTATAATCGATTATTCAACTTTTAATTTTGTGCACATATATTATAAGCTATCTAAAACTAGTATCTTTCAGATCTCCGACGTCGTGCTCGCACACTTGAAAATTATATCGATGCAAAATTAGTAGTTTTAAACAAGTTGGCCTCTGGTACGTCAGGTAAAGCTGCATATCACCATCGTTGATTTATTTTTGAGGCTTTTGGCTGTTTTTAAATTTTTTACATCAGTGAAACTTATCGCTTCCTGTTAACGAGCCTATCTTTTTTCGGCTTTTTAGTGGTCTTTAGAATTCTTGTTTCTGATTCTTTCTTTGAACAACAAGATAAATTGTTGGATCCTCTGTCTATGCATTTCAGTCAAATTAGTTAGGATGCTTGAGTCCCATGTTATTTTTAATACCTGCTTGTTGCAGGCCGATATGAATCGTTGTTGAATGACAAAACAACTGTAAACAGTAAGCAGGAAATATTCGATTCATTGTCAGCAGAAATAGAAAACATGATTGCCAATCTTACGCAGGTTGACGATCAGGTGAGTATTGTTTTCTTTTTTTATATTTGGAAAATTATAACTCGTTCTCTATTTCAATCTGTCACTTTTTGATTACTGGTGCTTAGCACTATGAAATTCTCTTCAATACTGCCTATGAATCTTTCTTTTTCCATATTGAAGTAGAGGGAGTGCTAGGGAGAAAAGCTACCACTAAAAGCATATCATTTTCAAATTAAGGAATTATTTTTTGTGAAATCTACTATTAATGATTGAATTTTATTTCTAATTTGAAGGTCAGGTATTCCTTTTAAATTCTCGAATGAGCAAGTAAAATGCAATTTTAGATGACAGAATATATAGCGAACTGTCAAGCAAATTCAAGGACTGGTGCATGGGCATCTGGTCCAGCATTACAGCATACTCTCAGAAGGCATCGCGAAATACTGCGTGATTACTGTACGGAATATAATAGATCACATGATAATATAAGAAATCAGTTACAAAGGTTTGTGTTACGTTTTACAGACCTTTATTTTGCTACATTTTTGATATGCTTTCTATAACCAATTTCCTTATCTCCTAGGATGTTTTTTAAACGTGTTGTGTGTATACTGCCCAAGATTTTCATTATTTCCATAGATGGCAGCAATACTTTTGTATAACAATTTCAGAGAAAGCTTATTAAGCGGGGGAACAAACGATAACCCACATCTCAGTAATCGTTTAAAAGCAAGTGATATGTATTTAAAAGAAAATGAACACATATCAAGCTGCGACCGTCTTCTAGATGAGCAAATTAGGTAACTCATGGTTTTATTTATTTCCTGATCTCCCATAACCCTACAGTAATCAAACAGTCAAACGTGCAAATATATGGTTATCCATCTCCGAATTTGAAGAATTGTATTGGGGTAATCATATTCAATAATTTTTCTTTTTTAAGCCCTTTTATTACTTTTTTTCTCTAAAAATTGTTTTAATTTGCTTTATTTGTGTTGGATTTGCTGCTAATTAGAAACATTTTCAGCATCGCAATATCGGCGAAAGAACATGTCCATAATCAGCGGGTGAGCCTGCGATACATTAGTAAAAAAATGAACGCATTAGCCAGTAAGTTTTCTACTATTCTTGAAAGCATTGGCATTTATTTTTAACTATATAATTCATCCAGAGGGTTTCGGTCACTTGTTGATAAAGCATAACCTTATGTGAGAGGTCACTTAATACTCAGGGGTTCCGAATATTCTGTTTACTTTTAGTGGTAGGACGTCTAGCATGTTTGGCATGACTTTAGCGTGGCGTTTAGCATATTTAGCAGTTCAAAAAAAGAAAAATTAAATCTCATGTTTATCATACGTGTGTTTTTTGCAGATGTATTTCACGTGAAAACAGTAGCAGTAAAAAGGAAAACATTTCTTTGTTACTTTGATTATTCAATATATCATATTGCAGAGAGTAAAAAGGAAAACATTTCTTTGTTACTTTGATTACTCAATATATCATATTGCAGAGAAATATCCACTACTGAATAGCGTGATACAGAAAATGCAAACGAGGAAACGACGAGATTCGATCATATTGGCAACGGTGATATCGGCTTGCCTAATTTTGATATATATATATGTAGTGCGTATGTAGTAGCTTAAGAACTATCATTTGCCAGTAGAGCCAGAGTCATTTTGGTAAACACATTTAGCCCACAGACTTTAAGGAATCATGAGTGTGACCTCAAATACTTCAATATTATGCACTTTTATTTGACGGAAACCATTGTGGATTCATTTCATATCAATGTGCCTCTGATGACTGTTATGTGCCTTGACGGGATTTTTTTTCCTAAGAATTATAATTACCTGGGACTTCCATCACTGATTATGATTTTTTCTGGTAACCTCTTCATTGTCAAAATTTTGAACCATCTGTAGTCCAACTGGTCGATGGAATTTAATGCAGAGATGATTTCCTGAACTTTGTGTCCAGTGTGCAGCACTGCCAACACAGTTTGATTAGCCGCACTAACTAGCAGTACTATATCGCAAATCCCGATACCCCGTCTGGCACATCCTATTACGCTGTAATTATGATGAGTTAAATTAAAAGTCAAGTCACGATTCTTCAAAAGTGTGCAAACAATTTGAAAAACTAGGATGTAGATAGAAAAACTAAAATGCACTAAGATATTGACACTACAGCAAATAGTGAAATGTATTGTATTATAAGGTGCATCGCTCTTGTTCATTTAGTATTGATTTATTATATCATCACTGCTCATCACATTCCCACTGCATTTAAAAACAAGACCATTTACATCCGAAACAATTATGATAGTGAGCTGTTCGATGTGACAGCAACACTTCTTTCATACAGACTTGTCTTCTGAACTTCACCCGGATCGAAATCAAGGGTAAACAATAAGTTCTTCCGGTCACGGTACAAATAAACAGGGAGAGTAATGCTGTTTGGAGGACTGGCTTCGCGGAACCATGACAGTGTAACGTTTTCTAAGTCCGTGCTGACCTCGTCGACAATCTCCAGTTTATTTTTTCTCTTACATGCCGCACCCATCAATCGAAGACCTAACAAAACAGAACGACTAGAAATCAAATCTTGAATTCTGTGGAATAAAACTGAAGTTCTGCAATTGAAATGCAGAAAAAAAATGCAGTACCTTTAACTTTAAACGTATCAGGACGGTCATTCATTGTGCCTACTTCAATATGCATACGTAATTCTTCCAAAGACCACTGATTTGCTTGTGCTACTGTCTGTCTCGTAGCGGTAATATATGCTTCTGGAGCAAACAATCCGCCTAACCAAACGCTTTCTTTCTGGAAAAATCAAAGTCTGTAAATCTACATAAAAATCTACATGTTAATATGTTAAAAACAAGCCTTCAGCGAAGCAGATCCAGCTAATCGGATAAGCTGTTGCACTCTTTCAATGAAATCGTGAATCCACGCCATGACAGTGATGACTTTCGGAACAGTGTAGCGCAACCAATCAGCTGGTACGAGACCTTTATTCAATGCTAATGTTAACGCACGAGTATGGTTGCTCTGTTTTCGTTCACCTTTGCAAACTGAATGTACCTGGAAAAAAAAATTTGCTAGTGGCTGTAATCGACCAAAATTTAATTTTCAAAAACTCGCTATGAAAACTCACTTCTTTCAGATCACTTCTTACACTTGCCAACAAGTGAGTGCCATGATTAACTTCCCGCTCAAAGAAGCGAAAGAGCGGGTCTTTGATGTTTTCCACTGAACGCTTTAGTTTGGGAACGTTCTGAAATGATAATAAAGTTGCTAAAAACATTAATCAATGAACAGAAAAAATGATACTTGAAGCCTATAAAATGAATATCAAGCACGACTGAAAACTACCGTCGGAAGCAACTTAAGCCATTGAGAGCTTTGTTCTGCAAGAACAGTCATCCATGGCGGAGACTGGGTTTTCTGATCATTACCAGCGAATGCCAACTCCTCATCGGATACTTTCAGCAGATTGGCAAGCATAGTTTCACCTAAGTATTCATCAAATATATGTCTGTGAATAGCATTTGACAATTGCAACAGATCCACTGTTAATTAAATTAGAAAATGACTCAAACTTCAGTACCTCTTACTGTAAGCAGTACTTTCTCGGCATTATTTGGTAAACCAAGCCAATACGGCAATTGTAAATACTGCATTTTTTCCACCCAGTGAATGAAATGCTCACGCGAATTGCCATCCGGTATGCAAAGATCAGTTCCTTTGCCATCAATATTACAGATAAGAACACGATCAGCATCAAAGGATTTGGCTGTGAAAAGCTTCTCAAGGAAGCAATCAAGCAGCATCTGCAATTATATATTTCACTGAAAAGGAATTATGCAAGGAAAACTAATGTAATGAATGGTATGCAGAAGTCTCTTTAGTAATGAAAACCTAAGTGCTAAATAGAGTAAACCATTTATGACTTTCGACAGTCCAGTGCACCCATAAGAGTGAAAAGCTGATCATTGAAATGATCAAGAATGTGCATATATCAATTCGCATGTATACCATTAACAAGATGAGGGATTCTGCTCCACTACATCCAATCGCAACATCGCAGTATTGGTTAAAAGTAGAAAAACTAAACAGAAAACAGTGAAATAATTAGTTTTAAAACTCGCAAAAATCAATACCTGATCGAATCCGTTATCAATTTTGCCACCATAAATGCACTGTGACAACAAGCATCGAAGTGTATGCCATGGCAATTTCTCCGGTGAAACATTTGCACGTCCCATAGCGACTGCATCAATTGATGCATCTAACGTATCACAAGCCACACGCAAATCAGCATCAGAGAACTCATATGAATTCGCCCATCCAAGTGGAATATAACGCATTCGCTCTTGTACAATCGCATGCAACCAACATATAAGAAAGTATAGCCGTGACCGTTCCACGGGCGGTTTCGTGATTCGCTGGGGTGCAAGTGAGCTCAACGAACGAAGTAAATTCGCCTAAACAACAGTAAGTAACCAAATTTCCACTCCAGCATTCTAAGCAACATAGAAAGAAGATACCATTGAAGAGATGTAATAAAATTTACTTTGAGGCCAGTAGCCGGTTCATATACGACAACGCGTGATGCGCGCAATACCTGTGGCGGTAGTTTAGGGTGAATTTCAGCAGTCAACAGCAAACGGAATTGTGGATGGGGTTTCAAGGAATGTAAACGTTTTTCCAGTTGAGCCAACCACGATGGTGCTAAGTGCACGTTTTTCAACAAAATCCATCTTCCTGACTTGGAGGCCGAATTTAACACCGTATCCGCTTGGGAGAAACCTTCTGCGGAACCTGAAATAATTTCTTGTCACACTTCAAAGCTATCAGCAAAAAAAATTGTTCATATGACAATTTATAAGACATTAACCAATTGCAATTGGAGTAATTTCATGGCCCATTTCGACAGCTAAATCTTCAACTTTACCAGATGCATCGAAACCAGTAGCAGAGGACAATAAAACTGGACGGTTTGCATTAACCTAAAAATTTTTATTTGACTATCAAAATGGTAAATTCTGTAAGCGAAGAATTCGACAATAAGTTGTACATTTGTACTCTCGATTTGCCTCACTGAACTATAAATAATAAGAGAAGACATTCAGATTGGTAATGGATTACTTCGTTTTCAACAATTTCACGCAGGTTCACTACTTTGTCTTCTTGCATGAATTCATCACCGAATACTGCAGCAACAAGACGGCGAGAAGATGCCAAGAGGCGATCTGGTCGAAGGGAATGAATTACGAGCAGTTCATTGATGCAACGTCCAATTTCCGCTATAAACGAATTTCTTTGATTAATAAAATACTTTCAAATCAAATTATGAAATGAGTTATGCGAGAAACCTTAATCTTTTAGATTTCGATAACCACGAGGAGCGAACCAGGCAGAAAATTCGATGGAACAATGTTTCCACATCCTAAACTGTTAAAAGCGAACTTACTCAGTTCATCATCACCGTTCCAAATTACCGGTACATTCAGCTCTGGATTATCGAGTAAGACCCAATTTCCAAAATCTACATTCGAAGTTACTTTCTTAATAACATCGGTAAAAGCAGGTAAACGAGATAACTGGAATAATGAAGCCATTTGTTGCGCATTGAAGCCATGCAGAGACTCAGCACCCTCCGTTTGTTTTTGGCCAGCAAAAATCTCGGAACGTCCAAGCAAATGATCCAACTGGAAGAATGGTAAAGAACTAAAGAACTCCTTTCTTCCTTCTTTCTACTTTCTTACTTACTACATATTCTATTATCTGTTCAATTATTTGTTTCCATCACTCGAAGTTTTTCAGTTGGGAACTAAACAAAAAAAATTTTAAATGATGCATCTTGAAAAGGTACAAGACACAAAAAAATTAATAAGTGAAAATCAGACCTCCAAATGATATGAACGTTCACTAATGTTCCCTTTCAGTACAATACGCATAAGCAACAACGCCAGCAAAACCTTATCTTGGTGTAACATACCCAAAGAAACGCGTCGATAAACCATCTAAATAGAAAATTAAAAACTGATGAGTATAAATTCTTGATGACAAAAGAATTTGTTTGTAACAACCAAAAAAGTCTACTCACCTGGAACAAGTTCGACATTATAATTTTAAGCCGTTGCTCATAATCAGTAACGCATTTAAGTTGCGGTGTAACTAGCACTGCCACAAATATCTCAAGAAGAAAATCTAGTGAATACTGGTAGAGGAAGTGGATTTCGTTAAGCTGTTGAAGCATTAGATATATCAGCGAACATGCCTGCGCCAGACGTGAATAATGCTGAGATACGGCCTCGACCTGAAAGTTACAGTTGAAACCATTTGGGACATGTAGCTGAAAAATTATTGAAACCAATCGAAAATAATGAAGAGAAAAAATCATTTACCTTCATACAGAAATTCACATTTTCCCTAATAATAATACGATCATAGACGAGATCTGTTTCGAAAAATCCTCAACCATGTAATCGTTTCACTTAATTCAAAACGCCTTACCTCGGACATAATTTTATTTGTCTCAGCCGCTTTACGACCAACTTCAGCAGCTTCATTTTTCAATTTTTCAAGAGTAGATATAACGGAATCGTCATCCAGTATTTTACCTTTACTTTCATTAAGCGCAGCCAGCAGTGCCTGCAGATAAACAGATTACCAACTTCTAGAAACAGACCTAGTAACAAACTTATGTGCAAAATTCCATTAAAAGCAAAATGAATCAAAGCAGTACTATAATTTCAACAAACCTTTTCCAGTTGCCTCAGTCGTACAGCAAATTCTCCTTGTAATTTCAATAAATCATTGCGTTTTTCATCCACATCCGGTCGTTCACTTCTTAGCACCTGATTTAAGCACTGCATCTCAAGTGATGCGCGTGTAACTGTGAAATTAACAAATGTCACTCTTGAGCACAGATCCGGTGCAAATTCAACCTTAAATTAAATCAAATGCAAAGCATATAGCATTTCAGTACCAAATTTGCAACCAGACTGTCAAAAAAACAAACCGAAGCATCTCGCGTAATTAGAAATATCTGGAATGATGGAGACAAGTCGATATCTTGATCACCTAGTCTAATCAAAATACGGCCTCCTGTTCTTTTCACTTCACGATTTAAA